AGGCACCCCCAACATGCTGTGTAGGGTGGGTCTGGAAACGGTGAGGTAACAGCAGTGGGATGGATGGTCCCACCTTTCCAGGGCATATTGTCTTTGCTGGAGACCTGGCCTTTTTGTGAGACCCACACAGCCAGTTAGGAACCCCAGAAGACCCCAATGCAATGGAATCGCACCAGTTCTGCTACACAGGCTAGATGGATGCACATGGGGGAGCCAGTGCCCCATGGACAGTCACACTGTGGTCTGGGCACTCCAGCCACAGGGGATGATATTGGCCATTGGCTGCGGGAGGCGGGGGTAGTAAGCGCACAGGGGTCAAGGCCTTTATTCTAGGCACGGGGCTGGAAGAACAGCCAACGACAGGCGACCTGCCTCCATGCTGGGGGTCGATTCCATCCCCAACACACACAGCCCGGCTCCCTGCCTGCCACGTTTGTCAGGGTGTGCGCAGGGCAGGGGTGGGGTGCATCTCATCTGGGGGTCCTTAGAGTCAGTCGCAGTTCCAGTGCTGGGCCTGAGAAGGGTTTCAGGTTAGTTCTACTCGCCCCCCAGCTTGTTCTCTGGGCACAAATTCAGTGTTGTTTTCTAATGATTCAGGGAGGCCACAAGGTTTGTTTTTAGAAGAGACTGAGCGGGAGGTCCGAAACTGCTTTGGGCAAATTCGACAGCACTAACTCAGGCCAGCGGCCTGACCCAGCCGTTTGTCACCAGGAAGTCGAAGAGCAAGGTTAGCATTTTCTCTGATGCTAAGTAACAGGCGGTAGGATTCTGAGGGAGTGAATATTGGACATGGTCACTGATGCACTGAAGGGCTTTTCTGTTTCCCTCTCTACCATCTCCAGCGCTTCAGTTCCCCACTCCCTCCCTTCCAGCCCCACGGATACACACCCCTACCTGGGGGCCTGCCCCATCTGCAGCTAACCCCATCCCCACCTCCTCCCCGTGCAGGCACCAGGAGTGGGAGCAGGGGAGCAGCAGGGGCCCACTGTCTGAGTGGCCAGGTGCCCACTGAGAGCACACAGCTGCCCCCTGGCACTGTCCCACCTGCAGAGGTGATGGTCACATTTTGATGGGGAACATTGTATTTGAAAAACCCCTAACACCACAAAGCTCGGTGAAGGGAACAGAGCCAAAGCAGGGGTCACTGCTCAGGGATGCACAGGGAGAAGGGTTGGGTGGTTTCAGGGCTGGAAAGCGGCTCTCAGCATTACATTGGTATTATCCGTGTGTACTAGGGGAGTGCCAAAGCCCCTTTGCACTTGGCGCCGTAGAACCGCAGAGGTCCCCACCCTGAGGCGCTTACAGCATAACTCGACTGGACGGACGTGGGCGGGGGGGGGCGGGCACGCCAACAGAGTGAACAGTGGGGGGGGCAGGAAATGTCATGATAATACATTGGGGCGGTGGGGGGGGGGCTAGGAGAGGATCAGCTAAATGGGAAGGGAAGGGGTGGGAGGCACAGGGCAGGGAAGAGAGGAAAGGAGGGTGGACTGAAGCTGAGGTGAAGAGACGGGGGTAGAGACGACAGGGGACAGGTTAGTTCCCAAGAAGACTCGAGTGCGGGCACCTGAGGCAGCATGTCCTGCCCCTGGCCTGCAGCCATCAGGCAGGATGCTGAGCTAGGGCCAGCGGAAGGTTTCCACACAGCTCACAAGTTCAGTCGTGCCCACCCCAGCCCTTACAGATCAAGTCAAACTCTCCCCTCCCACACACTTGCTACCAGAAGAGCCAGGGGATTGGCTTATAAATCATGAGATAAAAAGCACACCCCCTTTTTGTTTTTTAAATTTTCCTTCTGGCTTTACGTCCTTTGGGGTTCACAACTTCAAGCTTCTCCTGCTCCCCCGGGGTCAAGAAACTGCATTTATTGAAAAACTAACCAACCAGCCCTGTCTCTAGCAGCAGGGGCTTTAAGGTAAACTCCAAGACGGGTGAGGCTTGCGGGAACAGTAGCAGAGCCCTGCCAAGTCCTTCTGATGGAGAGGCAGAGCGGAGCTGGCAGCTGTCTGCCAGCATCAGGCCACCTGAAGTTCTCGCCTTTTGCTGCTGAAGAGCTGGGTCCTAGTGTGGGTTGGGTCACAAGCGGTTGCCCTGGTCCATACCAAAGGGCTGCCACTGGGGCCTTTTCCAGCACAGAGCAAAATCTCTCTTGTGGATGTGTAGAAGTGTGACATCAGGGGCCACAATCTTCCCTCATTTGTGCCCGTGTATGGCTCAGCCCATCTGGCTTTCCCTCCCTCCTCCTCCTCAGGACTGGGGTGTCCCACTCCCCACAGGAAATCCCTTGAGCTGGGGAAAGGAAGCCAGTCAGAGCAGCTGCATATACCAGGACCTGCTTCTGCCCTCCACTCCCCCACCCATGGAGCACTCTGCCATGGCTGGGGAGCTGCTCCCCCTGCCCTTACGGCAGCAATTGCCCCTCTCCCATCCCCCTTCTCAGATCTGGGGAGCAGGTGAAGGTCCTGCCCTGCCCCTGGCAGGCCCAGGGTGCCCTTGGCCCTCAAGTGGCACGAAGAGGGGAGCAGGTGGTGTGAGCGCGAGGCGGGTGGAAGATCTCACACACTCCAGAGGGGAAATGGTACTTTTGAGGAACTGGTACTTTTGCACAGGGTGTCTATTTCCACTAACAAAAAACCACTATCAAACAAAGTTATTTGGTTGTTTTCAGCCACAAGTTTTAGGTTTTCACTTAAAATGTCTGGAGGAAGAACTGCCCGTTTTCCTGACCAGCTCTGTGGAGAAGCACGTCTCGCAAGGCAGTACGGGAAGGAACGCGTGTTGGTGGTTTCAGGAGACAATTGCCGGTGTGTGTGTGTGTGTGTGTTTTCTGTTAAGTTCTCATAATGCTGAAGCATGCATCATTTAAGAGTCAGCACAGATATGTTAAAACCACTTAGTGTCATGAAAGAAATCTTTGACATTTTTCTACAGTTGAAGTCACTTGGTAAGAAACAACCCTACACAAACACTTACTTTGCTTAGAGTCGTGCAATGGAAGTCTAACAACAGTGATAAATTCTGCCCACTATAAAGTACAACTGCCTGCTAGGCTACAGGGGGTACAGCCAGGCAGCTCGAACTAATGTTACTCCAAAATTTGCTGAGATTAAATCTACATACAATCTCCACACACACTCTCAGAACGGTTAGAGCTCCAGAAATTGTCACTGAAGTATCAAATGGTTGCCATGGAACTCAGAGCCTACCCCAAACCATCACTTTGCCTATTAGTCTTGATAGAGAGAGGAATTTAAGATGATTGTCTTTCTGAATCTGCAATTCAGCTCTTTACTAGGGTCATTCGACAGACCTTAGGAGGAGCAGACTTGTCAATCGTGGGGAAAAGTGACCCAGGAAGATGCCCTGTTTATGCAAACTACATGCACAGACATTAATCAGTCATGAAAGCCAGCAGTGGTTTTCTAGAAGTATTTACTCTGTTGTCACTTTCTCTCTCCTTGTCATTCCTCTCACGCCTGTGACTTTGTAAGCTAATTCTGCTGGTACGTTTGCCAGATAAATAATGAGGTCAACATAAACAGACATAAGCTACATAAGCTAAGTCAATCCTTTACTTATTTACTCATCCACTAGAGATGGGCCTGTCCCAGCCCTGGCAGACTGGGTCAGAAGAGGATGCAGGATAGGGTCCTAAGTGTTCCTGATGCTGCTGTGGGAGCGTGCACCCCCGCCCACCCCCCAACAAAAGCATTACACTTAAGTTTGAAATTGTGTTTACTTTTTCCTCCCCCCAGAATGGCACTAAGTCTAGAACATTAACAATACAAAGTCTAGCCGTTTGGCATAAATGCGTCAGAATCTAGAGGTGGTCGGTGGTACTCCCCTTTGCTGCTGTATTAGGTTATCAGCTAATAACTGAGGCCTACATTGTCGAGCATGATTTGTAATTTTGGGTCTGCAACTAGACCCCTTGAAAGGCCTGATTTTCAGAGGGTGGGGCTCTGCACTGTCTGGAAGAAAAAAGGCCACTTTAAGGAATCTCTAGTTGTGGATCCAAATAAGGTACAAGCAAACCACCAGCCACTTTTGGAAAGCAGGACCCACACCCCTTTGTGACATCAGGCATGTCTACCTGCAATACCCATGGACATGTTACCTGCTTAAGAACAGCAGAATCAGGCTGTTAAATTCTGAAAGAAATGATCCCTCATGAGTTATTTTAGGGGAAGTTTGCGATTTCATCTTCTGTTGACTTCAGTAGACCTGGCCCAGTGAACACCTATGGGTCTGAACAGCTTCAGAGCTGCAAAGCAGAGTAGCAATCTCATCACACTAGTTATTGCATTATCTTCCCCACATTGCATCTGTATTTGCAGCCATCTACAGCTGGAATTTCTGTAGGCTCCAGCACACATTTTCTCCTCAGGATGCAGAGTACAAGAAACATCCTCCCACTGAAACCCCACTCACCACATCAGCCTCCCAGACCCTGTGGATGGGAATTTGCCCTCAGCACTGTTGTGCCACACACCAGAGGATGGCTAGATGAGCACAAAGCCTCTTGCCTATACCGCAGCCCTGATTTCTAGGCCATATTGGACAGAGAGCGAGTCACTCCACTGGGTACCACAGGCCTCCGGCGTGTCTGGACACCTTGTGCGCTCCAGGAGAAACCTGGCAGTGCAGCTCACAGCACAGAAGCGTGCAGCACCTCCCAGGAACGCTCCCCTCACTTCTGGCAGGAGTCAAGACAATCCCACCCAGCAGCGGGTGTCTCCCTGCTGGGCAGCCCTGCACCCAGCCCAGCCCAGCCAGCCACTCCCTGCTGTCAGAGGGCAGGGGCTCGGGAAGAGGGGCATGGTTTGCTGAGGGACCTGTGTGGTTGGTGAAGTCCCCTTGCCTTGCCCGGCCCAGGGACCCTGCCTGTCTGCCTGGCCCACTCTCTCCGATGCCCCCTGCCTCCCCCAGCCTCTGCTCAGCGCCTCGCTAAAGGAGCCGAAGGGACAAACACAGGAGCCCCGGCTCAGGGGGCCTAGGCCATGGGCTTCACTGGTGCGGCTCAGCTGCAAAGCAGCCACGGGCCAGGGGCTCGGCGCAAGAGCCGGGCAGGGGGCAGCGGGAAAGCCAAGCACGGAGACGCACCCAGCCCAGCACACTCACACCCCCTGAGAGCGCCCTGTCGGAAGGTGAGACACGATCCCCAAAGCCAGGCTCCAAGTCCGCTCCCTGAGCCCCAGCTGTGTCCGCCCGGATCCACGCAGCGCCCGCCACGGTCCCCGAAAGCTGCCTCAGGTCCCAAGCGCCGGTTTCCAGCCGTATCCACGTCATGTCCCCAGGAGGGTCCGAGACAAGGGGGCAGCTTCCCAGACCGGCGAGCGGCGCCTCTCTGCTCCCCGGACAGCGCGGTCGGGTCAGCGGCGCCCTTCTCGCCGGACCGCAGGCCCCTTTCTTCTCCCCGCTCCGGCAGTCCCCCGCGGGCGCTCTGGGCTGGCTGCCCCGGACCCCGCTGCCCCGAGAGGAGCGGAGAGCCCCGGGGAGGCAGACGAGCCTGCCGCCCGCCAGCCCCGAGAGCTGTGAAGATCGCAGGGCCCCAGCCCGCTGCGCCAGGAGCGCTCCGCCGGGACCCCGCGCCAGCGCGCACGGCCCCTCGCAGCCACCGGCTCCGCCGCCGCCGCGCTCACTCCGGCTCCGCCTCGCCCCCTCCCCGGTTTTGAGCAAAGGCTGCTTAACTGATTGGCTCCCCCGTCTCGGCGGCGCCCCAGCCCCCACCCCGAGCCACCCCCGAGCAGGGCTGGGAGGGGGACCCGCCGCTGGCGCAGGTACCTCCGCGCCCTCTCCGCTCCCCGCCCCTGAGCGCACCCGGGACGGGGGCTGGCCCCGAACGGCGGAGCCCGCGGCAGCCCCTGGGCCCCAGGGCAGGCCGGGGAGAGCGAGTCCCTCCAGGTGCCCCGGGGAGACCCACGGGGGCTCCGACGTGAGGGTGGGCCCGGGCTGCGCGGGGAGCAGCTTTTGTGCCCTGTAACCCCGGACGCGCCCTGCCGGCCTCTTCCCCAGCGAGCCTCTCCAGCGCCCGGGCAGAGCCGGCAACCAGAGGCCCCTGCCCGCTGACACCGCTCCAAGCGCAGCCTTCCAGCCGCAGCCGCTGCCCGGGCCCCGGGGTGGGAATCCCCCGCGCCGGCCCCGGAGCCGGAGGCGCAGTTCTCCAGCCCGGGGGAGTGGCCTGGCGGAGGCAGCGCTGTTACCCCTGCGGAGCGGGCTGCGCCCCCGCTCTGCCCGGCCCAGGGATGCGGGGCTAGCCCTGCCCGAGGCTGCCAGCTCCTCCGGCCCGGCAGGAAAGGGCGCAGCGACACGCCCCCTCCCTGCCCACTCCCGCGCCAGCAGCGCCTCCCCGCGCCAGGGCGCAGCCGCTGCTCACACACTCCCCCGGCTTCTCCCTGTCCCTGCGGCCCCGGCTCGCCGCGCACCGGCTGGGCAGCCCTAGCCCTGTCCCCGCCGGCGCTGGCGAGCTGCCCAGCGCGCCCCTGCCCGTGGCTCGCAGACACGTCTCTGGATTAGCGGAGCTGGGGGCGCCCGGCGCCGCTCTGCGCCCGCCCGCTGCGGCTGGAGCTGCCTTTCCCGGCTGCGCCGCGCCATCGCTCTTCTCGCTGCGGAGCAGGCGGCGGCTCGGGCTGGCACCAGGCTGCAAAGCCGGCTTCATGCTGCAGCGAGCGCCGCGGCTCCCGGGGGTCGGGCGGCAGCCGCCGGAGCTCGCCGCGGGGAGGATGGAGCCAGCAGCAGCCGGGGAGGAAACGCGCAAGGACCCAGTGCAGCCAGCTGCGCCCCCCTGCAGCGCCCGGGGCTCCGGCTGCTCCGCCTGAGGCTACCCGGCTCTCGGAGCGCCGCGGCCGGTGGGTCGCTCTCCCTTGGCGGGGGTGTGCATGGCTGCGCCGCGGACAGCCGGCGGGAGAAGCCCGAGGACGGAGCCCGGCCGCGCAGCTCGGCTGTAGCTCCCCGAGCGCAGGAAGAGCGCCCGCCTCCCGGGGCCATGGGCAGCGCGTCCCCGGCCCGCGGCGCTCCAGCCGGCGCCTGAGCCGGGCTGGCCAGAGGCGGAGCGCGGGGCTCAGCGCTGGATTATCCGGCGCCCAGCGCACGGGCGGCGTTAGGTGAGCGCAGCGAGGAGGCTCGGCGAAGCCCGGCGGAGCTCGGATTGCCCTGGCGCAGGTACACGCTGCAAGGTCAGCGGGGCGCGGCTGCGGGGTCCGCGGTGGGGGCGGTGGAGGGGCGCTGGCGCGGGCTGACCGGGCTGCGCCCCTGCCTGGTGTGCGCGGGGGGCCGCGCGGCTCGCTCCCTCCCTCCCTCCTCCCCCCGCCCGGCGCCGTGCGCGCCCGTGCAGCCGCCCTGCCTGCGCCCGCTCCCCGGGAGCCGAGCCGCCGCTTTGCACCGGGCGAGCCGCGCGGGCGCCCCCCAGCCGGACCGCGGGCGCCCCCCAGCCGGACCGCGGGCGCCGGCCGCCGCCTGCCTGCCGGAGGATGCGTATGCGGAGCGATGGCACCGGGCGGAGCAGGGACCGGCCAGCCCGCCGCCAGCCTGTGAAGCCAGCCCGGAGCCGCCGCAGCTGCACCTGCCGGGGGAAGTGCTCCGGCCCCGTCTTTCCCGGCTAGCGGCGCCAGGTAACGCGACCCTCCCGCGCCGGGCGCTGCGCTGCATTGCGGGCTGGGGGGAGCCGCGGGCGCCGCTCCGGGAGGCGCCCCCGTCTCTGCTGCGGGGCGGGGGGCGACCCTGCCCCCAGCCCGGGGCAGGCAGGGGCAGCCCGGCCGGGGGTCTGAGCAGGAGCCTTTCCTTCGTGTGGGGCCCCGCTGGGGCTGGAGCTTCTCCGGACACGGTCAGGGCTCCCCGCGCTGCCCAGGGGCACCGCTCTGCGCTGGTGCCAGGCTTGTGTCTGCCCGGGGCTCGCTCCCCCTCGGGCCGGGGCTGGGTTCCTCTCCGCGCCGGCTGGGGACAGAGCCTGGGCTTGGATCCGGCGGGGTAGGGGCGCGCACCCCGGGGTGCCAGGGCGGAAGGGGGCGCGGGCGGACTGAGGTCCCCGGTAGCGGAGCAGACGCGCACAGCCGCTGTCCTGCCAGCCGGGAGCTGGATCCGGACGGTGCTGTCGGGCAGGGACGGGACCCGCGGGGCGGCTCCCCGGCCTCGGACAGCGCCCTGGCTCCTGCCGGGGGAGCAGCGCTGCCCGACGAGTCCATCCCTGTTTCATGCCATAGTGAAGCCGAGCTTAATTCAGCTGGGAGCCGCGCTTGCGGCTCCCTGTCCCCGGCGGAGGGAGAGGGGGAGCTGCTGCCCGCCCCCCAGCCTGCCATGTCCCCGGCTGCACCGGGGCTTTCCTAGCGCCCCGGCCGCTGCGCTTCTGCGGCTCTCCAGGCGATGGCAGGTGCAGCCCGCGCTCCGACGCCCGCAGCCGGCGGTGCACAGCGCCGGGGCGCCGGAAGGGACCGGCCGAGCCCCGCGGGGGGGACAGGCCCGTGCGCTCCGTGCCTGCCCCAAGCTGTGGCCAGGTTACCCCGGCTGGGAACCCTGCGGCAGGAGGGGGCTTTGGGGATTGCGTGTGGCCGGGGCTCTGGGTCCCCGAGCCCGGCGCCTCCTGCCTGCGGCTCCCCTCGGGGCCCGTGGCCGGGGCTTGGCAGAGACGCTGAGGGTGTGAACCCCGCGGAGCGAGCCGGCCGGAGCCCGCAGCTTGGCCCAAACTGTCGGCTCCCCCGGGATGGCCCAGCTGGAGGGCGGGGGCGCCCGGGCGCTAATCCGCCCCATGCCCGCTCTCCAGTAGCCGCGGCGAGGCGCCCCGGTGCGCCCCGGCTCCGGTTTTGTAGCTGCGCAGAGTTTTCCCGTGCGCCAGGCTGGCGATGGAGGCGGGGAGAGGCTCTGGCCGCCGCTGGCCCTGGCGGGGAAGGGGGCCCACGGGGAGGGGCAGCTCCCTGGGGCCGGGGCGGGGTATGGCCGGCCTGCGCCCCTGGGGTCGAGTCACAGCAAAGTTTAGCCCCGTCTGTTCCACAGGGGGTGCGTGTAACTCCCAGCCCATGGGCGCCGTCCTGCCGGGGCAGCCCCGAGCCTGGCGAGCTCGGCCGCTCTGTCGGGTGGCAGGGCAGCGACCCGGCGGCCGGGCTGCAGGCAGGTGGCTTGGGCCGGTGCCGAGGGGAGGCGCTTGAGGCTGGACTGGAGCTAGACTGCCCCGCTGGCGGAGCTCCGCCCGGGGAAGGGCTTGGCTCGGTGCGGCTGCGAGCGGGTCCTTGCGGAAGGCTGGGGTGGGAGGGAGGCGCAGATCCCGGCCGGGGGAGCTGCGGTTACAGGGCTCGGGATAAACCGCACGAGCAAAGCCCACAGCCTCCCTTGCAGCCCGGGGCGGCATTTGCCCCCTGCCTCCCGGCTGAGGTGGGCGTGGGTGTTAAAGGGCACTAGCTGGAGCCCTTACAGGGATCGAATTGCAGGGTGGGGAAAGCTCTTCTCCTGCCTGTCCCTTCCCTGTGGCCCCTCTCCTCTTTGCCAAGTTTCCCTGAGGCACTCCGCTCCCCGCAGGGAGGCAGGCAGAGAAGGGAGGAGCCATTTTGTGTTTTGTTTAAAAAGAAAGAAGCCATCCTCCGCCCGCGCTTGGAAGGGTTGGGCGGGGAGTCTCTCCTGGGGTAGCGTCCCCCAGGCAGGCCTCTTGCGTTTCCTGAGTATTTCTATGGAAAACAGGCTCAGGAGAGAGTGAGGCCCCCGTGGTAACAAGGACATCACAGCTGGGGAATAGCCCCTGGGAAAGTTGCAGCCATGCTGACTTGAGGAGCACAGAACACCCCCTTGTTCCTCAGCGCAACAGGGAGAAGAGGACCCAGTGAGTCCCCCTGAGAGGAAATGAAGGCTGAGGGTGGCCAGCTGCAAGGGTGAGGAACACCAGTCAAAGGCCCCGGTCTGCAACTGTTATGCTCCTTGAGCAGCACTTACACACTCCCTTGACTCAGTTGGAACTGCTCTTGTGAGTAAGTGTTACTCGCCGTGAGTAAGGACTGCGGACTTAGTGTCCAGCCCCCCTGGGAGGAGCAGTGGTTGTCTGGAATTTGTGTGCGGACACCTCTTTGGTTGTACGACAGTGCAGAGATACTACCTGGGTACGGCCATAGAAGGGCATGGATAGGTCATATTAAGATTATTAATCACTTTGGGTGGGATTCTCGTCTCCTGATGTACTCAGGGTGGTGGCACCTTACTGCACAAGGCCTGTCGTTGCCTGCAGGGGAACGATCTGTGGAGTCAGGCTCTCCTCACCAAGAGTAAAGGTGTGGGCAGCTGACCCTTTAGTAGCTGTAATCCAATTCACACATTTTAAAATATTGCACTCAGGAATAACACCTTTGCTCTAAATGCCAAATCAGTAGCTATGTCTACAATCTGTGGTGTCAGATCTCTCCACGCAGGGCCAGATCCTACGTTCCCTCATTTAGAGAGTAGCCTCGCTACAACCATAGTCCTTTTGTTCATACATCGATAACAGCTGTCAATTATTTTATGGCAACAAATACAATGTTAAGTAGATCTTGGATCATTCACGTGCCAAGTAAACTAGTTCCAAGTTGGAATAACTGTTTCGTTAGAACATTCCACGTATCGCATAGTTTCCTGAAAAGGTCAGCTGTTATTGGAGTGGATTCAAAATTACTGCTACTTAGTTCAGTCACCATCGAATCAGATGGAGCTCAAAGGCTTGTGAGTGGCAATGTAGCAAGAGAGTTACCTGATGTTCCATTTGTGATGAACCCATGGGCTGGACGCTTTGGTACAAGCTGAACTGGAGTATTTGTCATCTTATAGATTTGCAGAGGCTCATTTCCCCCGAGGCTGTTAACTTCTGTGGTGGTCTTAGTGAGCGTCAGTACAATTCACAGTACGTGCATGGCCACTGATGAGCTGAGGTCATTAGGCCTTTCGAGAGAAGAGGAGAGACTGGGCATCCCATGAATTGTAGCCTGAAAACTTGGCTAAACATGTTTCCCAGACAGCATCTGAAGGAACATCAAATGGCAAATGAAGGTGGTGGTGGTGGGCGGGGGGGATTCCTAAAGCAGCTTTCCTGGGGTCTAGGGCCCCTGTAGGTGAAAAGACAGATCAGAGGTCAGAGTGAGAATTTTCAACCACTAAGTTCAAAGGAAGCTGAATGGGTCCTCTGCTGATGTGGAGTTAGCAGACCAGCTGGTGAAGATGTTCCCAAGCTAGCAGAGTTTAACCCACACCCAAGTGTGGTTTAGAAAGGTCTGCAGAACAATGAAGAGCTCATGGCCCTCCATAGATGATCAATACTTCCTCTGCTTTAAGGCTTGACAACAGGTTCAGTTTTCTAGAACAACCTTTCGACTACTCTCTGAACAAACATCCAGACCAGAAAATCATTATAAGAGCTTTGCCATTAACAGGCCAAGCAGAACCTGAGCCAAGCAGGAAATATTTGTCTAAATGCTACTGTAGCATTTTAGGGAAACCGTCTTCCATGCATTAGATAAAATTGGTGCTACTTTGAGCAGACATCACTGAATCTGTTCTATGTAGATGTGTCTAAATGTATTCCACGTGGTCCTCAGAGACCAGTTACTAGCTGGGGTTAAAACTACTGTTAGCATTCTCCCATTACTGTGTAAAATGCACTGTTGAGTCCATTTGATGATTTTTTTGAACTAAGGGACAAGAGTGTGGCTTTACATCAAATTAATCTTAATTTAATTCTCCAAAATGCTTAGAAAATGAACACGTTTTCACTATGTTCGTCTAAATCTATTGCAGAGGAGAAAATTAGTTGATCAGAAACAAAACTGGAGATCGGTGCAAGCCTAAAAATCCAGATCTGAACATTTGAACTTCTCCATTGACTCTAGGGATTATGTTCCTTACTTTCTGTGTAATAAACAAAACAAAAAAACCCATCTTTAAAACAACAACAACAACAAACTCCCCTGAAGCTTCACTTTCAATCATTAAATGTGTACTTTACACTTAGAAATTTGTGCTTCTCATTCATTTGCTATCTTGTCTGTAATGCCTTTAAGTCTTAAAGGCCTGTTTGCAAACAAAATGGCAAACCTTGAGCTAACCACTCATCTGCCCCGCATTTATGCAGTTGCAGTGGGACCCATCCTTTACCTTTAACAAACGTAGAGTCTCTGGGTTCCTGTTGATGCTCACCTGAAATTCTCTGAAGGCTGATGACATCAGAGCACTGAAGTAAGAAAAGAACAGCTCTGTGTCTAGGACATACACTAAAAGAAACCAGGGCTTGTTTCCTGGATGAATAAACAGAGGAAGTTAGTAGCACTTTTGCTTCATAGCTAGAAAGTGACGGGTTGAACGCCCACCTTAGAGCTCAGGCTCCAATCTATGGCCTGTACTGCCCTACAGTCCTGCGTGAATGCTGCGTGGGATGGTTAAAGGAATGACTGCAGCGAATTACTCTTGAAGAATGTAATTCTGAGAAGCAATCTGATCACTTATCAAGATAAATGTAGCAATGATTACTTTCAGGTATTTTCCTTGGAAAGCTGGCCTTTCCTGTCCCAGGTGTGAAAGATAGCGTCATGATACCGATGCATTCACAGTCTCAGTACGTCTATTCTGCAAAAGGAGTTGGTAATGGTTACAGCTGTGGGAAGGTACATTTGTCTGGTAGCAGATATAGATCTCATGGGACTTTCCAAAAGAGCAGAGGGTCCCTCGTATGTTCACCAACCCCAAAACGGGCTCGCCTGTCTCCAGCTGAGGTGCACGTATAATATCAAAATCTGTCTCATTGGTCTACAGTCCATACCAGAATAATACTGATAATAATTGTCACTTCTGCTCCGGCATCTTTTACTGGAGGATGATAGAGCACTAAACAAGCCTCACAGCACTGTGGGAGATATGTCAGGATGAATATTCACAGATAGAGGAAAGAGGGTATGGAGAGGTTATGGCCATCGTTTTCAAAAGTGGCCACTGGTCTAAGATCACTCAGTTTTGCAGGGTCTGATCTGAGTTATTTGGGGCTGGTGTCCTGAGTGCTCACAACTGTTGTTGAAGTCAATGGAACTTTGGGGTGCTCAGCATCTCTGATAATTAGGCCCAATTTGGGCCTCCACGAATCAGTTGGCCCAGTGATCTCCCAAGGTTGCAGAGTCAGCTGGTAGACGATCTGGGAGTCCAGCTCCCAGTTCTGTGCTCTACCAACTCTACCTGAATAATAATAATACTAATTAATAAAAAGAGTAATTTATTTGCCAGCTATTCCTGTTCTATGTTTAATAGCAGATGACACTAAACTGGGAGGAGAGGTAGATACACTGGAGGGTAGGGATAGGATACAGAGGGACCTAGACATATTAGAGGATTGGGCCAAAAGAAATCTGATGAGGTTCAACAAGGACAAGTGCAGAGTCCTGCACTTAGGATGGAAGAATCCCATGCACCGCTACAGACTCAGGACCGAAAGGCTAGGCAGCAGTTCTGCAGAGAAGGACCTAGGGGTTACAGTGGACGAGAAGCTGGATATGAGTCAACAGCGTGCCCTTGTTGCCAAGAAGGCTAACAGCATTTTGGGATGTATAAGTAGGGGCATTGCTAGCAGATCGAGGGACATGATCGTTCCCCTCTATTCGACATTGGTGAGGCCTCATCTGGAGTACTGTGTCCAGTTTTG